TTACAATCCTTACATTTATGTAATAGTGCACTTTGAAACACTTCTTCAAATACTGAAATCAGCAGAATTGAAATATGTTTTTCTTGCTTTTTTTTTTTTGGTGCACAATGTATAACAAGAAGTAGCCAAAAAAAAAATGACTTATTAGATTACTCTTGTATTTTTTTATTAACTTGCTTACATTTTTTTAAAACAATGCTTTGAGTTGACTGTATGTGTAAAGAAACGATATTCCCACTATGAAGATTGTAATACAAATTATAAGCACATGGCACCTTTAATGTCCTTTCACTATAGAGAGTATATATAGTCAGTATGGTGCCTCTGAAGAAGTGACTTTGCAAAGCTGTAATCCAAGTCGTGAAGTTGGAAAACAGAAGGTCAAGTGGTGGAAGGCACTTACTGAGAACCTATCTGCCTAAACTTCACATCTCTTTCCATTTCCTTTGATCAGATGGTCGGCACTGTAGAAGGCAGCATCAGAAGATCTTTTTCTAGGGACTGTGTCCCTACTTTTGAGATTTTAGCACTCAAATATTTTTAAACTTGTGTAAATAAATTCAATGGATTAATGGAGACCACTATGTTTTCTGTATATGCTTTCTCCTCAGAACCATTACTCTAATTGCATATCTATACATGTTGCCAAATTCACTACTTATTTAATGATATTTAGTAAATCTACCTTTTGTCTTCCTTTGTTTTTTTTTATTTTGAATCTTTTGCAATCTTCTGTTGTTTTTTTGATAGTATTTTTTGTTTAAAGATCTTTATTTTTTGTTCTACACTCTAAATCAGTGAATCAAAATTGGTGCAAGTGGTGCTGGCAGAAGTTAGACACAGCATTAATGTAACAAGTCTTACACTAGGATGACTAGCTATCTGCCACTTATAGTTGCAGAAGGATTAACAATGTAATATAAGCGTTTAGTTTTTAATTTTTTTATTATTATTATTGTTATTATAATTTTACTGAACACACTCCAAAAAGGGATTTCTTTCTATAAACAGTAAAAGAAAACCTGTCAACTCCAACTCAATGAATCAATTTAGTGTAAGTGGCACTGGCAGTGGCTAGGAGGCTCATTGAGAAGCCCTTACTTTAAGCCAATTGGACATGAGCGTGTGCAGGATTGCATAAGAGCACACTTAGCCAGGGAACAGTGGTGAACCAGGTAGTTAGACACACAGAGTAAGTTGAACCCTGTGGAGCTAACAGGATCAGTAAAATAACTTCCCTGGATTACTAATTCAACAATTATTTATAAAAATGCTGATTTTGAGTAGAAATCAGCACTTTTATTAACTGCAATTAAAATACGCATTTCGTCAAAAAATATGGATCAGAAATAATTCAACAAATGGGCTTTATCGAAAAAGTTAAAGTAGTAAAGCAATTGACCACCACCTCCACTCTGAGATGAACAATGCTTT